GACACACACACACACACACACACACACTGATACACGTTGTACGGATTTGTTTCTCTTCTCTCTTCTCGTTTTCATTAACAAGCTGCTCTCTGTTGGAAATATGAAACATTCTCGTTATCAAAATAAAATATAAATCGGCAATAACGTCGTCGTCGCGTGGCTAGACGGATGTTCACGCTGGCAAATTGCATAGGAAACATTGATCGCTTCTCTCCTTCCTTCTCCTCTACCCCTATTTCTCTCTCTCTCTATCTCTATCTCTTTCTTTCTTGCTCTCTGGCTTTTTGTCATTTTTCTCTATTCTCTGTCCACGAGATAATCGATAGTAGACTTCTCGTTTCAAGCTATCCAGCATCCAAACAGGGAACTGTATTTTGTAAATCGGATGAAAATCTTTCTTGGGTCTCTTTTTGGATTTCCTGTATCACAACTGTGTATACAAAATGCTTCAGATTTCAGTTAGAATCTTAAATAAACAATTTCATGTTTTCTCGTATCACAACTGTGGATAGAAAATTTTCCTTCAGATTCCAGACTGTTAAAAATCTTAAATAAGAAGCAATTTATTTATTGGTTCTCTTCATTATTATTTCATATCACAATTGTGCATAGAAAATTCTTTATGGTTTTTTTCATGGTTCTCTGGTATCACAACTGTAGATAGAAAATTTTTCTTCAGATTCCAGAGAGTTAAAAATCTTAAATAAGATACAATTTGTTCGTTGGGTCTCTTCATGGTTTTCTCGTACCACAACTGTAAATAGAAAATTTTCTTTCATATTTTAAGGACTCAGAATCTCAAATAAGAAACAGTGTATCTGCTGGCTCTCTTCATGTTGTGCTCTCAACAATTGTGCATAGAAGATATTCCTTCAGAAGAGATAATTCTATTTTTTTAAACGAAAAATTAATTCTTCCTGGTTTTCTTGAAGTTCTTCTCGTATCACAATTGTGCATAAAAAATGTCGCCTCAGAATCCAAAGATGTTCTATTTCTTTAACGAGAAGCAAATTTCTTCTGGTTCTCTTCATGTTCTTCTCGTCTCACAACTGTGGATAGAAGATTTCCCTTCAGAGGATTTTAAATCTTAAATAAAAGACAATATGTCTGCTGGTTCTTCTCGTGTTCCTCTCGTTTTACAACCTCCAGAGAGTGAATTGTAGATATATTATTTAAACAAAATACAAATGCTGGTTCTCCTTTCAATTACGAGAACCGATTTGTGGTCTTCAAAAAAGGAATTCATCTCTGGGAAGGGTCGCATTGTACGTCAGGTGGTTGCATGGTCAAGTAGCAAGGTTGAGTATCCCGGAAGTGCGATCTAACCAGGAGACCCAAGCCTAGGAGGACAACTGGTAAACCTAACAGAGCGCAGATTAATTCTCCTGTTACTCCAGGAGACCAGGCGATGAAACCTGAAATATAGAAGTATAGCTCTTATTCTTTCTGAAATTTAAAGGTATGAGAAGAAGAAATGAATTTAGAATTAAAATTCTTTCTTGAATTCAAAGAATAGAGAAGAAGAATAAAGAAGAGAATAAAAAAAAATTATGGAACAGAGCTGTTGTATGAAAGAATCATGAAGAAGAAATATAGCTTATTTCTTCTCTAATGAGAAGATGAGAAGAAATGAATTTAGAATTGAAATTATTTGTCGAATGCAAAGAATGAAGAAGAGAATAAAATAGTATCATAGAACAGAACTTTATATCAAAGAGTCGTAAAGAAGTATAGTAAATGTCCTATGGCTTATTTTTCTCCAATGAGAAAATAAGAAGAAATGAGTTTGCAACTGAAATTATTTATCGAATGCAAAGAATAGAAAAGAAGAATAAAGAAGAGAATAAAAAAGAATCATTATAGAAAAGAATTATTATATGAGAGGATCATAAAGAAGAAATATAGTAAGTGTCCCACATTTTATTTTTCTCTAATTTCAAGATAATAAAATATAGAAAACTAAATAAATAATAAACAATACATAAACAAATATTAATAATAAATAATAAAACAAAAATCGGGAGATTTGTTTCAATTAGAGGCTTCCAACTCACCCCCATGGGCATCCATTTTATAAATGCTCCACCAGATACCAGAAAGGGGTAAAGATACAGTAGCAGTGGCGACAGTGAACACTGCACTCTCGGACATTGAAAGGAAGTTCACTGCAGAAATTGAGAAGATCGTGTATGAGATCAAGAAGATCCAGCTGTGGGTAGAAATGTTCAAACAATCCTCGCTGTTCTTGAAGTGGCACGTCAATCCGTGCTCGATGCTGCGGTACAGCTCCACAGGGCTGAACCCCTAAACAATATGAAATACTCTCCTATTATT